AATAAATTTTGCTTCTATTCATTAAATTACGTTAAATATTGTTATTAATAACTCACTGCTTCTGAACACCATATTTTTAAAGTTTCCATATCTCCTTTTAGATATGCCTCCATTATTTCTGGTATAATAAACTCCCTTAATTCTTTCATAAACTCTTCAATGTTAAATCCTGGATCTATCATTTTTAATTGTGTAATCGCCTGTGCCGTTTCATTCTCTTGAAATAATGATCCTATGATAAAATTATTCAGTTAAAAACATAGGAAATGGTAACCATCTCAATTAATATTTTCACTGTACCTAATGTATATGAAATACGATCTGTGAATTCTCTAGTAAATGAAATGATGACATTGTCACTGTCTTCATAATTCCTTTTCATGTTAAATATGCCTTTGGTATAATAAAAATAAATAATCATTCCTCTATTACTTTAAATTATAAAAAGGAATACTGATAAGCAAAAATTCAAAAATTTCACACTGAACCTCGCATAACTGGATTATTTTCTTTAAACTTATTCCAGCTTTCCTTCCATGCTGAATCTTTATGAAGTACCATAGATGCTCCTGCTCTATTTGATCAAAATTGGAAGGTTGAATCTGTAAGTTCCAAAAAATCATCAGAAACCAAAGTATTACTAGTCTATCTTAATTTAAACATTTTTTTTATTTGGTTTACTTTTTCTAGATTTCGAACGTGTCGTCTAAAATATCATCTACCACAGAACCAATACGACAGACCAAGATGTATGCAAACATCCGTGATACATTGAAGGAAACTGTAGGAGATGATATATCTCAATATGGTGGATTCATTGATAAAGAAACAAGGAGAAAAATGAAGAGTGAATCAACAAAATATGGAGAAAAAGCCAGACGAGCTACTGAGAGAAACCCCGAGTAAGTTGTTGTTTTATTCACATTAATTATATTAAGATAGACTAGTAATACTTTGGTTTCTGATGATTTTTTGGAACTTACAGATTCAACCTTCCAATTTTGATCAAATAGAGCAGGAGCATCTATGGTACTTCATAAAGATTCAGCATGGAAGGAAAGCTGGAATAAGTTTAAAGAAAATAATCCAGTTATGCGAGGTTCAGTGTGAAATTTTTGAATTTTTGCTTATCAGTATTCCTTTTTATAATTTAAAGTAATAGAGGAATGATTATTTATTTTTATTATACCAAAGGCATATTTAACATGAAAAGGAATTATGAAGACAGTGACAATGTCATCATTTCATTTACTAGAGAATTCACAGATCGTATTTCATATACATTAGGTACAGTGAAAATATTAATTGAGATGGTTACCATTTCCTATGTTTTTAACTGAATAATTTTATCATAGGATCATTATTTCAAGAGAATGAAACGGCACAGGCGATTACACAATTAAAAATGATAGATCCAGGATTTAACATTGAAGAGTTTATGAAAGAATTAAGGGAGTTTATTATACCAGAAATAATGGAGGCATATCTAAAAGGAGATATGGAAACTTTAAAAATATGGTGTTCAGAAGCAGTGAGTTATTAATAACAATATTTAACGTAATTTAATGAATAGAAGCAAAATTTATT